TGACCGGCGGCCATGGCAGATTCCCGGTAGATCGAGAACCAGAACAGCCCCATAAAAAACCCTCCAAAAAACCCCAAAAATCCCAAAAAAATCCCCCAAAAAACCCAAATCCTATAAAACTCCTATAAAATACTATAAAATCCTATAAAACCCTATAAAAATCCCTATAAAATCCTATGAAATCCTATAAAATCCCCATAAATCCCCACTGACCGGCGGCCATGGTGTATTCCCAGTAGATTGGCATCCCCAAAAAAACCCCATAAGAACCCCCCAAAAAAACCCCAAAAAACCCCCAAAAAATCCCCCCAAAAAACCCCAAATCCTATAAAAACCCTATAAAATCCTATAAAATCCCCATAAATCCCCACTGACCGGCGGCCATGGCGTACTCCCGGTACAGGGGCAGCCGGAACAGCCCCTCCAGGGCAGCGAGGTTGGGGCGCAGCCCCGGGCAGGGACCCCCCGAGGGGTTGGGGTCACCCCAAAAGGGTTTGGGGTCGGGGTTGGGGTCAGGGTCGGATTTGGGGGTCACCCCAAAAGGGTTTGGGGTCGGGGTTGGGGTCGGGGTCGGATTTGGGGTCACCCCAAAAGGGGTTTGGGGTCGGGGTTGGGGTCGGGTTTGGGATCTGGGTTGGATTTGGGGTCACCCCAATCAGATTTGGGGTCGGATTTGGGGTCAGGGCCGGATTTGGGGTCACCCCAAAAGGGTTTGGGGTCGGGTTTGGGGTCATCCCATTGGGATTTGGGGTCAGGGTTGGATTTGGGGTCACCCCAACCAGATTTGGGGTCACCCCAACCAGATGTGGGGTTGGATTTGGGGTCAGTCCCAGATTTGGGGTCAGGGTTGGATTTGGGGTCATCCCAGTCAGATTTGGGGTCGGATTTGGGGTCGGATTTGGGGTTGGGTTTGGGGTCGGATTCGGGGTCAGATTGGGGGTTGGATTTGGGGTCACCCCAACCAGATTTGGGGCCATCCCAATCAGATTTGGGGTCGGATTTGGGGTCACCCCAACCAGATTTGGGGTCATCCCAATCAGATTTGGGGTTGGATTCGAGGTCAGATTTGGGGTCGGATTTGGGGTCATCCCAGTGGGATTTAGGGTCAGATTTGGGGTCAGTATTGGGGTCAGTTTTGGGGTCGGATTTGGGATCACCCCAATGAGATTCGGGGTCGAGTTTGGGGTCGGATTCGGGGTCGGATTCAAGGTCGGATTTGGGGTCATCCCAAAGGGATTTAGGGTCAGATTTGGGGTCACCCCAATCAGATTTGGGGTCAGTCCCAGATTTAGGATCAGATTTGGGGTCGGATTTGGGGCCATCCCAATCAGATTTGGGGTCAGATTTGGGGGTCCCAATGGGATTTAGGATCAGCCTTAGATTTGGGGTCCCCCGAAGATTCGGGGTCAGATTTGGGGTCCCAATGGGATTTGGGGTCAGATTTGGGGTCGCTCCCAGATTTGGGGTCCCCCCAAGATCTGGGGTCAGATTTGGGGTCCCAATGGGATTTGGGGTCCCTTTTGAGGTCAGATTTGGGGTCAGATTTGGGGTCAGATTTGGGGTCAGTATTGGGGTCACTTTTGGGGTAGGATTTGGGATCACCCCATTGGGATTTGGGGTCTGATTTGGGGTCAGTTTTGGGGTGACCCCATGGGTTTTTGGGGGTCCCTTTTGGGGTCAGATTTGGGGTCTGATTTGGGGTCAGTTTTGGGGTGACCCCATGGGTTTTTGGGGTCCCTTTTGGGGTCAGATTTGGGGTCTGATTTGGGGTCAGTTTTGGGGTGACCCCATGGGTTTTTGGGGTCCCTTTTGGGGTCAGATTTGGGGTCTGATTTGGGGTCAGTTTTGGGGTGACCCCATGGGTTTTTGGGGTCCCTTTTGGGGTCAGATTTGGGGTCGGATTTGGGGTCAGATTTCGAGTAGGATTTGGGGTCCCTTTTGGGGTCCCTTTTGGGGTCCCTGCCCGCGGCCCCGCAGCCGCCGGTGACGAAGGCCCCGAAGACGCCGATGCAGGAAATGCCGTGGGGGTGAGCGGGGAGGATGTAACTGCGCCCGGGGGGGAGGGGACACTCCCGGATCACCTGGGGACATCGGGGACATCGGGGACATTGGGGACATCGGGGACATTGGGGGTATTGGGGATATTGGGGGGATTGGGGACATTGGGGACATCGGGGACATTGGGGACATTGGGGATATTGGGGACATTGGGGACACTGGGAACATTGGGGACACTGGGGCCATGGAAGTCATTGGGGACATTATGGGGATTGGGGACATTGGGGACATTGGGGACATTGGGGACATTGGGGACATTTATGGGGTTTGGGACATTGATGGGGACTTGGGGACATCGGGGACATCGGGGACATTGGGGTCATTGGGGACATCAGGGACATCGGGGACATCGGGGGTATTGGGGATATTGGGGGGATTGGGGACATTGGGGACATCGGGGACATTGGGGACATCGGGGGTATTGGGGATATTGGGGGGATTGGGGACATCGGGGACATTGGGGACATTGGGGACATTGGGGACATTTGGGGGATTTGGGACAGTGGGGACATTGGGGACATCAATGGGGACATTGGGGACATTGGGGAGATTGGGGACATCGGGGACATTGGGGACATCAATGGGGACATTGGGGACATTTGGGACATTTGGGGACATTTGGTGGACAGTGGGGACATTGGGGGATTTGGGACCATGGTAGCCATTGGGGGCACTTATCGGATTTGAGGACATTGGGGACATTAATGGGATTTGGGGGATTTGGGGACATTGGGGACACTGGGGACATTTGGGACATTGGTGACACGGGTGACGTTGGTGACGTTGGTGTCACCGGTGCCACCGTTGCCATGGTTACCGTGATGGGGAAGTAGTCACAGAAATGGTCCCCAGATGCGCCAATTCCGCAGCCAGTCCCAGTGCCGGGGCCCTGGGGACATTGGGGACATTAATGGGGACATCGGGGACATTGGGGACATTGGGGACAGTGGGGACATTTGGGGACATTGGGGACAGTGGGGACATTGGGGACAGTGGGGACATTTGGGGACATTGGGGGCGTTGGGGACATTGGGGACATTGGGGGCATTGGGGACATTGGGGACATTGAGAACAGTGGGGACATCAGGGGACACACGCAGGGGGTGCTGCCACCAGTGTCCCCAATGTCCCCAAATCCCCCAAATCCCAAAAATGTCCCCAATGTCCCCAAATCCCCAAAATGCCCCCAAAATCCCCAATGTCCCCAACGCCCCCAACGTCGCCTCGATGTCCCCAATGTCCCCTCTGTCCCCAATCCCCACAATCCCCCCCAATGTCCCCATTGATGTCCCCAAATCCCATAAATGTCCCCAACCCCCCCCACTGTCCCAAATGCCGCCGATGTCCCCATTGACATCCCCAATGTCCCCAATCCCAAGAATGTCCCCAAATCCCATAAATCCCAAAAATGTCCCAAATCCCCCCAATGTCCCCTCGATGTCCCCAATCCCCCCACTGTCCCCACTGTCCCCAATGTCCCCATTGTCCCCGCTGTCCCCATTGTCCCCAATGTCCCCAATCCCCCCAATGTCCCCATTGATGTCCCCAATGTCCCCAATCCCTCCCATTGTCCCTACTGTCCCCATTGATCCCTCCATTGATGTCCCCACTGTCCCCACTGTCCCCACTGTCCCCAATGTCCCCACTGTCCCCACTGTCGCCAATGTCCCCAATGTCCCCACTGTCCCCATTGATGTCCCCGATGTCCCCAATCCCAAGAATGTCCCCAAATCCCATAAATCCCAAAAATGTCCCCACTGTCCCCTCGATGTCCCCATTGTCCCCACTGTCCCCAATCCCCCCACTGTCCCCATTGTCCCCATCGTCCCCAATGTCCCCATTGATGTCCCCAATGTCCCCCAATCCCCCCAATCCCCCCAATGTCCCCAATGTCCCCAATGTCCCCCAATGTCCCCAATGTGTCCCCACCTGTGTCGGGCCCGTGCCAGTCCCAGAGCCACCACCCTGCGTAGGTGACGGGGACGATCCAGAGCCCCAATGTCCCCAATGTCCCCTCACTGTCCCCAATGTCCCCAATGACGTCCCCAATGTCCCCAATGTCTCCATTGATTTCCCCACTGTCCCCAACGCCCCCAATGTCCCCAATGTCCCCATTGATTTCCCCAATGTCCCCACTGTCCCCAATGTCCCCAATCCCCCAATGTCCCCTCGATGTCCCCATTGTCCCCATTGATGCCCCCATTGATGTCCCCATTGTCCCCATTGTCCCCAACGCCCCCAATGTCCCCAATGTTCCCCCAAATGTCCCCAATATCCCCATTGTCCCCAATGTCCCCAATGTCCCCAATGTCCCCATTGTCCCCATTGTCCCCAATGTCCCCATTGATGTCCCCAATGTCCCCAATGTCCCCCAACGCCCTCAATGTCCCCAATGTTCCCCCAAATGTCCCCAATGTCCCCAATGTCCCCATTGTCCCCATTGTCCCCATTGTCCCCAATGTCCCCAATGTCCCCAATGTCCCCACTGTCCCCAATGTCCCCAATGTCCCCTCGATGTCCCCACCTCTCTCGGGCCCGTGCCAGTCCCAGAGCCACCACCCCGCGTAGGTGACGGGGACGATCCAGAGCCGCGTCCTCAGCAGCAGCAGCAGCGCCAGCACCGAGCCCGGCCCTCGTTTGCATATTCATTAGCGTTAATTAGCATAAATTAGCATACACCAACGCCATTCCCGCTATATTCCCCCCTCCCATCATTAATTAACCCCGCTCTGTTAATTGTGCCCTTCCCTCTAAGGGTTAATCTGATCCCCTCCTCATTAATTAACCTGCTCGAGTTAATTAATCTCCCCTTAATTAATTAATTTATTAATTATTCTCCCTTCGTTGCTAATTATCCCTCATTCAATGTTAATTAACCCTCGTGATTGCGCCTCCGCCCATCTAAGGGTTAATTTGCTCCCCCTATCACTAATTAATCCTCCCGAGTTAATTCCTTGTTAATTAGTTAATTGTTCTCCACTCCGCATTAATTACCCCATTCATGGTTAATTAATTAACCTCAATGAACCGGCGCTAATTGCCCCCACCTTTAACCCCATCAACATCCCCTTTCCTTATTAATTAACCCTTCTAATTAATTAACCCCACAATTAATTACCCCTCCACGGTTAGACCCCCTCGTCAAAGCCTTAATTAACCCTCCAACCCCTTAATTACCCCTAATTAACCCGCGCGAATTAACCCCACAACCTTAATTAACCCCCTCTAATTGTGCCCTTTAACCCATCCAGATCCCATTTCCTCATTAATTAACGCTTCTAATTAATTCACCCCGCAATTAATCCACCCCTCCACGGCTGGACCCCCTCCTCACGACCCTAATTACCCCTCTAACCCCTTAATTAACCTTAATTAACCCGCGCTAATTAACCCCACAACCTTAATTAAAGCTCTCTAATTGTTCCCTTTAACCCCATCAACATCCCCTTTCCTCATTAATTAACGCTTCTAATTAATTAACCCCGCAATTAATCACCCCCTCCACGGCTAGACCCCTTCCTCAAGGCCTTAATTAACCCTCCAACCCCTTAATTACCCCCTCAGCATTAATTAAATCCATTAATTAACCCCTTAATTACTCTCTTTACCTTTAACCCATCAGATCCCCTTTCCTCATTAATTAATGCTTCTAATTAATTAACCCCGCAATTAATCACCCCCTCCACGGCTAGACCCCTTCCTCAAGGCCTTAATTAACCCTCCAACCCCTTAATTACCCCCTCAGCATTAATTAAATCCATTAATTAACCCCTTAATTACTTTCTTTACCTTTAACCCATCCAGATCCCTTTCCTCATTAATTAACGCTTCTAATTAATTAACCCCGCAATTAATCCACCATTCCACGGCTAGACCCCTTCCTCAAGGCCTTAATTAACCCTCCAACCCCTTAATTAACCTTAATTAACGCCCTCTAATTACTCCCACAACCTTAATTAAAGCTCTCCAAGTGTTCCCCTTTAACCCCATGAACTTCCTCTTTCCTCATTAATTAACGCTTTTAATTAATTAACCCCGCAATTAATCACCCCCTCCACGGCTAGACCCCTTCCTCAAGGCCTTAATTAACCCTCCAACCCCTTAATTAACCTTAATTAACGCCCTCTAATTACTCCCACAACCTTAATTAAAGCTCTCCAAGTGTTCCCTTTAACCCCATGAACTTCCTCTTTCCTCATTAATTAACGCTTTTAATTAATTAACCCCGCAATTAATCACCCCCTCCACGGCTAGACCCCTTCCTCAAGGCCTTAATTAACCCTCCAACCCCTTAATTAACCTTAATTAACGCCCTCTAATTACTCCCACAACCTTAATTAAAGCTCTCCAAGTGTTCCCTTTAACCCCATGAACTTCCCCTTTCCTCATTAATTAATGCTTCTAATTAATTAACCCCGCAATTAATCCACCATTCCTAGACAGCTAGACCCCCTCCTCACGACCCTAATTACCCCTCCAACCCCTTAATTACCCCTAATTAACCCGCGCTAATTACCCACAACCTTAATTAAACCCCTTAATTACCCCTCTACCTTTAACACGTTAACGCCCCCTTTCCTCATTAATTAACGCTTCTAATTAATTAACCCCGCAATTAATCCACCATTCCACGGCTAGACCCCTTCCTCAAGGCCTTAATTAACCCTTCAAATCATTAATTAACGTTAATTAACATTCGCTAATTACCGAGGAAGAGGAAGGTCAGCATCCACTGCACGACGCTCAGCACCTCCAGCGGCGGAACCCCAAAGTTCGCTCCATCCCTGCGGGACCGGGGGGACGAAATTGGGGGTGACACCGCCGGGGGGGGGCCGGGGGGGGCTCGGGGGGATCCCCCAAATGCGGGGGGACCCCAAAAAACCCCGGGGGGGACCCCAAAAACGGCCCCGAACCGCCCCCTTGGGTACCGGCGAGGGCGCCACGTCCCGAGCGAGCCCCGAACTTTGATCGGGGCGGGGAAGGAGCCGGGAGGGGCTGGGGAAGGGGGGGGGAGGGGAAAAAAAAGGGGGGGGAACCCCGAAAATGGGAACCCCGAAAGGTTCGAAAATGGTGGGGAGGAAAACGGTAAAGAAATAAAAAAAAAATTTTTTAAAATTCCGTTAAAATTCCATTAAAATCCCATAAAAATAGCCCCGAAAATCCCATTAAAATCCCATAAAATTCCCTAAAATGCCTCCAAAAATCCCCTAAAATCCCCCCAAAAAATCCCATCAAAATCCCCCCAAAATCCCCCCAAAAATCCCATTAAAATCCCCCAAAAATCCCATAAAAGTGCCCTAAAATGCCCCCAAAAATCCCTAAAAATCCTCCCAAAATCCCATAAAAATCCCCATAAAAATCCCATAAAAATCCCCCCAAAATCCCATAAAAATCCCCATAAAAATCCCATAAAAATCCCCCAATAAAATCCCCCAAAAATCCCATTAAAATCCCATAAAAATAGCCCCGAAAATCCCATTAAAATTCTACAAAGTCCCCTAAAAATCCGTTGAAAATGCCCTAAAATGTCCCCCAAAAATCCCATAAAAATCCCCCCAAAAAACCCCATAAAAATGCCCTAAAATGCCCCCAAAATCCCCCCCAAAATCCCATAAAAATCCCAAAAAAAATCCCCTTTAAAATACCCTAAAAATCCGTTGAAAATGCCCTAAAATCCCCCAAAAATCCCATAAAAATGCCCTAAAATGCCCCCAAAATTCCCCTAAAAATCCCCCCAAAATCCCATTAAAATCCCAAAAAAATCCCATTAAAATAGCCCCAAAATCCCATTAAAATTCCATAAAATCCCCTAAAAATCCTTCGAAAATCCCCCCAAAAATCCCATTAAAATGCCCTAAAATACCCCTAAAAATCCCTTTAAAATTTCCCTAAAAATTCCATAAAAATCCCCTTTAAAATACCCTAACAATCCATCGAAAATGCCCTAAAATGTCCCCCAAAAATCCCATAAAATCCCCCAAAATATCCCAGAAAATCCCATAAATTTCCCTAAAAATCCTTCGAAAATGACCCCTAAAAATCCCTTTAAAATTCAAAAAAAAACCCCCAAAAATCCCCATAAAATTCCCCATAAAAATCCCATATAATTCCCCAAAAATCCCATAAAAATCCCCATAAAATCCCCTAAAAATCCCCCCAAAAATCCCATTAAAATCCCATAAAATCCCCTAAAAATCCCATAAAAATCCCCCCCCAAAATCCCATAAAAAGCAAAAAAATCCCCCCAAAAAATCCCATTAAAATGCCAAAAAAAATCCATTAAAATCCCCTAAAAATCCTTCGAAAATGCCCCCAAAAATCCCATAAAAATCCCATAAAAATCCCATAAAAATCCCCAAAAAATCCCATAAAAATCCCATAAAAATCCCCCAAAACATCCCCATAAAATCTCACAAAAATCCCCAAAAAATCCCATAAAATCCCATAAAAATCCCAAAAAAATCCCCCAAAAATCCCCAAAAAATCCCCCCCAAACATCCCATTAAAATCCCATAAAATCCCCTAAAAATCCCAAAAAAATCCCCCAAAAAATCCCATAAAAATCAAAAAAATCCCCCCAAAAATCCCATAAAAATACCCTAAAAATCCTTGAAAATGCCCCCCAAGTGCCCCCAAAAATCCCATTAAAATCCCCTAAAAATCCCTTTAAAATCCCCATAAAACCCCCCCCAGAAATTCAATAAAAATCCAATAAAATCACCCCAAAAAATCCCGTAAAATTCCCATAACATCCCATAAAAATCCCGTAAAAATCCCCAAAAAATCCCCATAAATCCCCCAAAAATCCCATAAAAACCCCAAAAAAATCCCATTAAAATCCCCTAAAAATCCCTTTAAAATCCCTCAAAAAATCCCCCAAAATCCGAATCCGACTCCTTTTCAATCCATTTATTTGGTTTGAAATAAATTTTTGGGGGTTCAGAAATTTTGGGATTTTTTTGGGATTCAGTCGAAGCTGAGGAGCCCCAAAAATCCCCTCAAAAATCCCTCAAAAATCCCAAAAATTCAAATTTTTTCCCTGATTTTTGGGGTTTTTTTCTGATTTTTTGGGGGTTTTTCCCTCAAATTTTGGAGGTAATTTTTGATTTTTTTTTCCTTGAATTTTGGAGTTTTTTCCCTGAAATATTTTTATTTTTTCCTCCTCGTTTTTAGGATAATTTTGAAGGGTTTCTCCCTGAAATTTTCCCCTAATTTTGGGGTTCTTCTCTGAATTTTTAGGGTAATTTTGGAGGTTTTTTCCCCTGATTTTTGGGAGCTTTTTCCTGAATTTTTGGGGTTTTTTTCCCCTAATTTTTGGGGTTCTTCCCTAAATTTTTGGGGTAATTTTTGGGACTTTTTTCCCCTAAATTTTGGATTTTTTTCCCTGAATTTTTGGGTGAATTTTGGTGTTTTTCCCTGAATTTTTGGCATCTTTTCCCCTCAATTTTTGGGGTTCTTCCCTAAATTTTCAGGATAGTTTTGGGGTTTTTTTTCCCCCTGAAATTTGGGAGCTTTTTCCTGAATTTTTGGGGTTTTTTTCCCCCTGAATTTTGGTTTTGTTCCCTGAATTTTTACATTTTTTCCCCCCTAATTTTTTGCGTTCTTCCCCTAAATTTTTGGGAGTTTTTCCCCTGAATTTTGGCTTTTTTTCCCCAAATTTTTGGGGTTCTTGCCTAAATTTTTGGGGTAATTTTGGGGTTTTTTTTCCCTGAATTTTTAGATTTATTTTCCCTAATTTTTGGGATCATTTTGGGGAGTTTTTTCCCTGAATTTTTGGATTTATTTTCCCTAATTTTTGGGGTAATTTTTTTCCCTTGAATTCTGGGGTTTTGTCCCTGAATTCTGGATTTTTTTTCCCCTCATTTTTGGGGTTCTTCCCTAAATTTTTGGGGTTTTTTTCCCCTTGAATTTTGAAGAGCTTTTCCCTTGAATTTTGGGATTTTTATAATTTTGGGGATTTTTATAAATTTGGGGACTTTTATAATTTTGGGGGTTTTTCCCTGAACTTTCAGAGGTTTTTTTTCTCAAATTTTTGGGCTTTTTTCCTCAGGTTTTTGGGTTTATGCCCAAAATTTTGGGGGGCGATTTTCAGAGGGGGTTGGGGACACTCGGGAAGGGGTTGGGGACACCTTGGTGACACAGGTGACACACAGGTGGCACACAGGTGACACAGGTGGTGGATGATGACACAGGCGACACACAGGTGACACAGGTGACACAGGTGACACACAGGTGACACAGGTGACACACACGTGACACAGGTGATGCAGGTGACACACAGGTGACACAGGTGGTGGATGATGACACAGGTGACACACAGGTGACACAGGTGACACAGGTGACACACAGGTGACACAGGTGACACACACGTGACACAGGTGACACAGAGGTGACACAAGTGACACACAGGTGACACACAGGTGACACAGGTGACACACACGTGACACAGGTGACACAGAGGTGACACGCCATCAGATGGAGATGCTCTCGGTGACACAGGTGACACACAGGTGACACACAGGTGACACACACATGACACACAGGTGACATGCTATCAGATGGAGATGCTCTCGGTGACACAGGTGACACACAGGTGACACAGGTGACACACAGGTGACACAGGTGACAGGTGCCATCAGATGGAGATGCTCTCGGTGACACAGGTGGGATGATGGGAGGTTGTTGGTGACACAGGTGACACGGGTGACACACAGGTGACACAGGTGACACACAGGTGACAGGTGCAATCAGATGGAGATGCTCTCAGTGACACAGGTGACACAGGTGGCCCTTGGTGGCCCTTGGGGACATCAGATGGAGATGCTCTCGGTGACGCAGGTGATGGTTGATGATGACACAGGTGACACAGGTGACACAGGTGACACACAGGTGACACACAGGTGACAGGTGCCATCATATGGAGATGCTCTCGGTGACACAGGTGGGATGATGGGTGGTTGTTGGTGACACAGGTGACACGGGTGATGGTTGATGATGACACAGGTGACACAGAGGTGACACAAGTGACACAGGTGACACACAGGTGACATGCTATCAGATGGAGATGCTCTCGGTGACACAGGTGACACACAGGTGACACACAGGTGACACACACGTGACACACAGGTGACATGCTATCAGATGGAGATGCTCTCGGTGACACAGGTGGCACACAGGTGACACAGGTGGCACACAGGTGACACAGGTGACACAGGTGACACACAGGTGACAGGTGCCATCAGATGGAGATGCTCTCGGTGACACAGGTAGGATGATGGGTGGTTGTTGGTGACACAGGTGACACGGGTGATGGTTGATGATGACACAGGTGACACACAGGTGACACACAGGTGACGCAGGTGACACACAGGTGACAGGTGCCATCAGATGGAGATGCTCTCGGTGACACAGGTGGGATGATGGGTGGTTGTGGGTGGCACAGGTGATGGCTGATGATGACACAGGTGACACAGGTGACACACAGGTGGCCCTTGGTGGCCCTTGGGGACATCAGATGGAGATGCTCTCGGTGACGCAGGTGATGGTTGATGATGACACAGGTGACACAGGTGACACAGGTGACACACAGGTGACACACAGGTGACAGGTGCCATCATATGGAGATGCTCTCGGTGACACAGGTGGGATGATGGGTGGTTGTTGGTGACACAGGTGACACGGGTGATGGTTGATGATGACACAGGTGACACAGAGGTGACACAAGTGACACAGGTGACACACAGGTGACATGCTATCAGATGGAGATGCTCTCGGTGACACAGGTGACACACAGGTGACACACAGGTGACACACACGTGACACACAGGTGACATGCTATCAGATGGAGATGCTCTCGGTGACACAGGTGGCACACAGGTGACACAGGTGGCACACAGGTGACACAGGTGACACAGGTGACACACAGGTGACAGGTGCCATCAGATGGAGATGCTCTCGGTGACACAGGTAGGATGATGGGTGGTTGTTGGTGACACAGGTGACACGGGTGATGGTTGATGATGACACAGGTGACACACAGGTGACACACAGGTGACGCAGGTGACACACAGGTGACAGGTGCCATCAGATGGAGATGCTCTCGGTGACGCAGGTGGGATGATGGGTGGTTGTGGGTGACACAGGTGATGGATGATGATGACACAGGTGACACAGGTGACACACAGGTGACACAGGTGACACACAGGTGACAGGTGCCATCAGATGGAGATGCTCTCGGTGACACAGGTGGGATGATGGGTGGTTGTGGGTGGCACAGGTGATGGCTGATGATGACACAGGTGACACAGGTGACACACAGGTGACACAGGTGACACACAGGTGACACACGTGACACACAGGTGACAGGTGCCATCAGATGGAGATGCTCTTGGTGACACAGGTGGGATGATGGGTGGTTGTTGGTGACACAGGTGACACGGGTGATGGTTGATGATGACACAGGTGACACAGGTGACACACAGGTGACACAGGTGACACACAGGTGACAGGTGCCATCAGATGGAGATGCTCTCGGTGACACAGGAGATGGCTGATGATGACACAGGTGACACAGGTGACACACAGGTGACACAGGTGACACACAGGTGACAGGTGCCATCAGATGGAGATGCTCTCGGTGACACAGGTGATGGTTGATGATGACACAGGTGACACAGAGGTGACAAGTGACACAGGTGACACACAGGTGACATGCTATCAGATGGAGATGCTCTCGGTGACACAGGTGACACACAGGTGACACAGGTGGCACACAGGTGACACAGGTGACACAGGTGGCACACACGTGACACAGGTGACACACAGGTGACACAGGTGTGACACAGGTGACACAGGTGACACAGGTGTGACACAGGTGACACGGGTGACAGGTGCCATCAGATGGAGATGCTCTCGGTGACGCAGGTGGGATGATGGGTGGTTGTTGGTGACACAGGTGACACGGGTGATGGTTGATGATAACACAGGTGACACAGGTGACACACAGGTGACACAGGTGACACACAGGTGACAGGTGCCATCAGATGGAGATGCTCTCGGTGACACAGGTGGGATGATGGGTGGTTGTGGGTGGCACAGGTGATGGCTGATGATGACACAGGTGACACAGGTGACACACAGGTGGCCCTTGGTGGCCCTTGGGGACATCAGATGGAGATGCTCTCGGTGACGCAGGTGATGGTTGATGATGACACAGGTGACACAGGTGACACACAGGTGACGCAGGTGACACACAGGTGACAGGTGCCATCATATGGAGATGCTCTCGGTGACGCAGGTGGGATGATGGGTGGTTGTGGGTGACACAGGTGATGGATGATGATGACACAGGTGACACGGGTGACACACAGGTGACACAGGTGACACACAGGTGACATGTGCCATCATATGGAGATGCTCTCGGTGACACAGGTGACACAGGTGGCCCTTGGTGGCCCTTGGGGACATCATATGGAGATGCTCTCGGTGACGCAGGTGATGGCTGATGATGACACAGGTGACACAGGTGATGGCTGATGATGACACAGGTGACACAGGTGACACACAGGTGACACAGGTGACACACAGGTGACAGGTGCCATCAGATGGAGATGCTCTCGGTGACGCAGGTGATGGTTGATGATGACACAGGTGACACAGGTGACACACAGGTGACACAGGTGACACACAGGTGACAGGTGCCATCAGATGGAGATGCTCTCGGTGACGCAGGTGATGGTTGATGATGACACAGGTGACACAGGTGACACACAGGTGACACAGGTGACACACAGGTGACAGGTGCCATCATATGGAGATGCTCTCGGTGACGCAGGTGGGCTCCAGGTAGGGGTAGGGCAGCTCCAGCTCCGCGTTTCGCCGCCGGATCCGCTCCGAGATCTCGGCCAGGCGCGCCCGGAACGCGGCCAGGACGGAACGGGGACCGGGACCGGCCAGGAGATCCTGGGAACGGGACCCCAGGGGACGCTGGGGACACCAAAGGGACATTGGGGACATTGGGGACATTTGGGACATTGGGGGGATTGGGGGCATTGGGGACATTGGGGAGATTGGGGACATTGGGGGGATTGGGGACATTGGGGACATTGGGGACATTGAGGGGAAAATGGGGAACAATGGGGAAAAAATGGGAGAAATTGGGAAAAATGGGACTGGGGACATTGGGGACATTGGGGGACACTGGAGACACTGGGGACATTGGGGACATTAGGGGCATTGGGGACATTGAGGGGATTTGGGGACATTGGGGACGTTGGGGACGTTGGGGACATCACAACACCCTCATGTCCCAGGACGGAACGGGGACCGGGACCGGAGAGGAGATCCTGGGAACGGGACCCCAGGGGACGCTGGGGACACCAAAGGGACATTGGGGACATTGGGGGCATTGGGGACATTGGGGGGATTTGGGGACATTGGGGACATTGGGGACATTGGGGACATTGGGGACATTGAGGGGAAAATGGGGAACAATGGGGAAAAAATGGGAGAAATTGGGAAAATGGGACATTGGGGACATTGGGGACATTGGGGACACCAAAACCAAGGTCACCATGAAGTTCACAACTCCCCGATGTCCCTGTCCACCCTCAATGTCCCCAATGTCCCCAACGTCCCCAACGCCCCCAATGTCCCCAATGTCCCCAATGTCCCCAACGCCCCCAACGTCCCCAATGTCCCCCAATGCCCCAAATGTCCCCAATGTCCCCAACGCCCCCAGTGTCTCCAAATGTCCCCAAATCCCCCAATGTCCCCAATGTCCCCAAATGTCCCAAATCTCCCAATGTCCCCAATGCCCCCAATGTCCCCAATGCCCCCAACGCCCCCAATGCCCCCAACGCCCCCAATGTCCCCAAGGTCCCCAAATGTCCCCAGGGCCTCACCAGCTCCCCGCCCTCGTAGCTGACCACGCTCAGCAGGGCCAGCAGGGCGCCGGTGGCCTCGGGGGACGGCAGCGAGGCCACCAATGTCCCCAATGTCCCCAATGTCCCCCAATGTCCCCAATGTCCCCAACGCCCCCAATGTCCCCAACGTCCCCAAATGTCCCCAGGGCCTCACCAGCTCCCCGCCCTCGTAGCTGACCACGCTCAGCAGGGCCAGCAGGGCGCCGGTGGCCTCGGGGGACGGCAGCGAGGCCACCAGCAGCTCCTCGGTGGCCTCGTTGTCACCGGCCGGCGGCGGCCGCTGCATCGTCCCCGGCGTGTTGGGCATCCAGGCGGCGTAGTCGTACTGGGGGAGGGGACAGCGGGGTCACGCGGGGTCACCCCGGGGTCACGCGGGGTCACCTGGGGTCACGCGGGGTCACGCGGGGTCACCTGGGGGCTGTGACGTCCCCGTGTCCTTGGTGGTCACCAAGGTGGGGTTGGTGGCCGAGATGAGGTTGATGGCCACGCTCGGGTGTGTCCTGAGCGCCCCGGTGTCCCCAGGTGTCCCCAGGTGTCCCCAATGTCCCCCCAGTGTCCCCAATGTCCCCAGGTGTCACCAATGTCCCCAGGTGTCACCAATGTCCCCAGTGTCCTCAAATGTCCCCAATGTCCCCAATGTCCCCAGGTGTCCCCAATGTCCCCATTGTCCCCAATGTCCCCAATGTCCCCAGGTGTCCCCAATGTCCCCCCAGTGTCCCCAACGTCCTCAAATGTCCCCAATGTCCCCAGGTGTCACCAATGTCCCCAATGTCCCCAATATCCCCAGTTTCCCCAATGTCCCCAATGTCCCCACAGTGTCCCCAATGCCCCCTAACGTCCCCAGTGTCCTCAAATGTCCTCCAATGTCCCCAATGCCCTCAGGTGTCCCCAATGTCCCCTCAGTGTTCCCAGTGTCCCCACTCTCCCCAATCCCCCCAATGTCCCCGATCCCCCCAATGTCCCCATTGTCCCCAATGTCCCCAATGTCCCCAGGTGTCCCCAGGTGTCCCCAATGTCCCCAATGTCCCCAGGTGTCCCCAATGTCCCCAATGTCCCCAATATCCCCAGTGTCCCCAATGTCCCCGATCCCCCCAATGTCCCCATTGTCCCCAATGTCCCCAATGTCCCCAGGTGTCCCCAGGTGTCCCCAATGTCCCCAGGTGTCCCCAATGTCCCCAATGTCCCCAATATCCCCAGTGTCCCCAATGTCCCCGATCCCCCCAATGTCCCCATTGTCCCCAATGTCCCCAATGTCCCCAGGTGTCCCCAGGTGTCCCCAATGTCCCCAGGTGTCCCCAATGTCCCCAATGTCCCCAATATCCCCAGTGTCCCCAATGTCCCCGATCCCCCCAATGTCCCCATTGTCCCCAATGTCCCCAATGTCCCCAATGTCCCCAGGTGTCCCCAGGTGTCCCCAATGTCCCCAGGTGTCCCCAATGTCCCCAATGTCCCCAATATCCCCAGTGTCCCCAATGTCCCCGATCCCCCCAATGTCCCCATTGTCCCCAATGTCCCCAATGTCCCCAATGTCCCCAGGTGTCCCCAATGTCCCCAATGTCCCCGGTGTCACCTGGCCGCTGTTGACGGCCGCGTGCCGGGCGGAGCAGCAGAAGATGATCATGGTCAGGAACTTCACCAGCTCGGGGCGGCTGCAGAGCTTGGACGGGAACCCTGGGGACATTTGGGGACATTGAGGGGACAATGGGGACATTGGGGACATTGGGGACAGTGGGGACATTGGGGACATTGTGGGATATTGGGGACAGTGGGGGCATTGGGGACATTGTGGGGACATCGGGGACATTGAGGGATTGGGGACACTGGGGGCATTGGGGACATTGGGGACATCACCCAACTGGGGGTGGCACCTGCCAGGTGTTGTCACACACCGTGGAGGTGTGACGTCACCCACCACAATGACGTCACCCACCACGATGACGTCACCCATCACGTCACCACCCGGGCCCTGGCCACGGGTGTGTGCGGAGCCATCCCTTGACCATGACCATGACCATGCCGTGACCAAGACCATGATTGACCATCACCATCACCATGACCATGCCATGACCATGACTGACCATCTCCATGACCATCACCATGACCACCACTGTCACAACCACCATGCCTTGACCATGACCACAACCACGACCACGACCATGACCATGATTGACCATGACCACAACCATCACCATCACCATCACTTGACCTTGACCACAACCATGACCATGATTGACCATGACCATGACCACCACCATGACCATCACCATGACTTGACCAAGACCACAACCACATCCATGACCATGACTATGACCACCACCATCACCATCATCATGACTTTACCATGACCATGACCATGACCATGACCATGACCATGACCACCACCATCACCATCACCATGCCTTGACCATGACCATGACCATAACTACCACCATGCCTTGACCATGACCACAACCATACCAAGACCAAGACCATGACCACCACCACCACCACCATGACCACCACCACCACCATGACCATCACCATGACTTGACCAAGACCACAACCACATCCATGACCATGACTATGACCACCACCATCACCATCATCATGACTTTACCATGACCATGACCATAACTACCACCATGCCTTGACCATGACCACAACCATACCAAGACCAAGACCATGACCATGACCACCACCACCACCATCACCATGACCACCACCATCACCATGACCATCACCATGACTTGACAATGACCACAACCATGACCATGACTTGACCATGACCATGACCATGACCATGACCATCATCACCATTACCACCATCATGACTTGACCATGACCATGACCATGACCACCACCATCACCATCACCATGACTTCACCATGACCACAACCATACCAAGACCAAGACCAAGACCATGACCATGACCATGACCATGACCATGCTATGACCATTACTGACCATGAACATGACCATGACCATGACCACCACCATGACTTGACCATGACCACAACCATGACCATGACCACCACCCCCACCATCATCATGACTTGACCATGACCATCACTATGACCACCACCATGACCATCATCATTACTTGACCATGACCACCACCATCATCATTACTTGACCATGACCATCACCATGACTTGACCATGACCACAACCACACCAAGACCATGACCATGACCACGACCATGACCACCACCACCACCATCACCATGACTTGACCATGACCACAACAATCACCATGACCATCACCGCCACGTCCCCATGTCCCCTCGCCTGTCCCCTGTCACCCCCCCCCCCCCCCCCGGTGTCCCCTACCGCTCTTCTCGTTGCCGAGGACGCCGTAGGTGAAGATCTCGCCCACCCACTCCTGCAGCTCCTCATCCTCGGCCACCTCCTCGTCCTCGGCATAGAAGAGCGCCACGATGCCCTCCACGTAGCTGGGACACCGCGGTGGCATTCAGGGACACCGCGGTGGCATTCAGGGACACCGCGGTGACGTTCAGGGACACCGCGGTGACATTCAGGGACACGGGTGACACGCGGGTGACAGCCCACCCCGTGTCCCTGTCCCCGTGTCCCCACCATTGCTGGTTCCCATTGTCAGTGTCCCCTCAGTGTCCCCTCAGTGTCCCCTCCCTGTCCCCTCAGTGTCCCCACCAGTGGATGGTCCCCAGATGTCCCCTCAGTGTGTCCCCTCAGTGTCCCCTCCCTGTCCTGCTGTCCCCTCCCTGTCCCTTGCCCCCATTGCCCCCAATGTCCCCATTGTCCCCATTGTCCCCATTGTCCTCTTGGTGTCCCCAGTGTCCCCATTGTCCCCTTGGTGTCCCCATTGTCCCCAATGTCGCCATTGTCCCCATTGTCCCCATTGTCCCCTTGGTGTCCCCATTGTCCCCATTGTCCCCATTGTCCCCATTGTCCCCAATGACCCCAATGTCCCCATTGTCCCCATTGTCCCCATTATCCCAACATCCCCATTGTCCCCATTGTCCCCATTATCCCCGTTGTCCCCATTGTCCCCAATGTCCCCCCGGTGTCCCCACCCGTGGATGGCCTCCCAGATGTCCATGGCGTCGTCCCGGTAGTGGTAGCCGGGGATGTCCCCAACACTGTCCCCATTGTCCTCATTGTCCCCATTATCCCAACATCCCCATTGTCCCCGTTGTCCCCAATGTCCCCATTGTCCCCATTGTCCCCAATGTCCCCATTATTCCCATTGTCCCCATTGTCCCCATTGTCCCCTCAGTGTCCCCATTGTCCCCATTGTCCCCAATGTCCCCATTATTCCCATTGTCCCCATTGTCCCCATTGTCCCCTCAGTGTCCCCATTGTCCCCATTGTCCCCAATGTCCCCATTGTCCCCATTGTCCCCATTGTCCCCATTGTCCCCAATGTCCCCATTGTCCCCAATGACCCCAATGTCCCCATTGTCCCCATTGTCCCCATTATCCCAACATCCCCATTGTCCCCATTGTCCCCAATGTCCCCATTGTCCCCATTGTCCCCATTGTCCCCATTGTCCCCAATGTCCCCATTATCCCCATTGTGCCCAATGTCCCCTCAGTGTCCCCATTGTCCCCATTGTCCCCATTGTCCCCATTGTGCCCAATGTCCCCTCAGTGTCCCCATTGTCCCCACTGTCCCCACTGTCCCCATTGTCCCCATTATCCCAACACCCCCATTATCCCCGTTGTCCCCATTGTCCCCAATGTCCCCCCGGTGTCCCCACCCGTGGATGGCCTCCCAGATGTCCATGGCGTCGTCCCGGTAGTGGTAGCCGGGGATGTCCCCAACGCCGCGCTCGGCCACGTCGTCGGGGACGCAGAGCTCGCGGAACGTCAGCGCCGCCGTGCCCCGGGCCACCAGCGCCAGCGTCCCCTCGCGGCCCACCGAGGTGGCCTGGGGACAGTGACACCCTCAGTGTCACCAGTGTCACCTCCTGACCACCGAGGTGGCCTGGGGACAGTGACACCCTCAGTGTCACCAGTGCCACCTCCTGACCATCAAGGTGGCCTGGGGACAGTGACACCCCTCAGTGTCACCAGTGCCACCTCCTGACCACCGAGGTGGCCTGGGGACAGTGCCACCCCTCAGTGTCACCAGTGCCACCTCCTGACCACCGAGGTGGCCTGGGGACAGTGACACCCTCAGTGTCACCAGTGCCACCTCGCGGCCCACCGAGGTGGCCTGGGGACAGTGACACCCTCAGTGTCACCAGTGCCACCTCCTGACCATCAAGGTGGCCTGGGGACAGTGACACCCTCAGTGTCACCAGTGTCACCTCCTGACCACCGAGGTGGCCTGGGGACAGTGACACCCTCAGTGTCACCAGTGCCACCTCCTGACCATCAAGGTGGCCTGGGGACAGTGACACCCCTCAGTGTCACCCTCAGTGTCACCAGTGTCACCTGTGTCCCACCAGTGTCACCTCGCGGCCCACCGAGGTGGCCTGGGGACAGTGCCACCCCTCAGTGTCACCAGTGCCACCTCCTGACCATCAAGGTGGCCTGGGGACAGTGACACCCCTCAGTGTCACCCTGTCACCAGTGTCCCCTGTGTCCCACCAGTGTCACCTCGCGGCCCACCGAGGTGGCCTGGGGACAGGGACACCCCTCAATGCCACCCCTCAGTGTCACCCTCAGTGCCACCGGTGTCCAGGTGACACCGAGGGGGACCAACATGTCCCGGTGCCACCAGTGTGGACACAGGTGAAACACAGGTGACACCCAGGTGACACAGGGAGGTGACAAAGGTGACACAGATCACACAGGTGACACAGATCACACACAGGTGACACAGATGACACACAGGTGACACACAGATGACACACAGGTGACACACAGGTGACACTCAGGTGACACAGGTGACACACAGGTGACACACAGGTGACACCCAGGTGACACACAGGTGACACAGGGGACACAGATCACACAGGTGACACAGATCACACACAGGTGCCCCAGGTGACACACAGGTGACACACAGGTGACACACAGCTGACACAGGTGACACCCAGGTGACATAGATGACACAGGTGACCCAGGTGACACACAGGTGACACAGTTCACACACAGGTGACACAGGGAGGTGACAAAGGTGACACGCAGGTGATACGCAGGTGACACAGGTGACACACAAGTGACACAGGTGACACAGGGAGGTGACAAAGGTGACACAGGTGACACACAGGTGACATACAGATGACACAGTTGACACAGGTGCCACAGGAAGGTGACAAAGGTGACACAGATCACACACAGGTGACACACAGGTGACACAGATGACACAGGTGACACACAGGTGACACAGGTAACCCAGGTGACACAGGGAGGTGACTCAGCTCATACAGGTGACACAGGTGACACCCAGGTGACACAGGTGACACACAGGTGACACAGGTGACACAGGGAGGTGACAAAGGTGACACAGGTGACACACAGGTGACACACAGATGACACAGTTGACACAGGTGACACAGGAAGGTGACACAGGTGACACAGATCACACACAGGTGACACACACGTGACACAGATGATATAGGTGACACACAGGTGACACAGGTGACACACAGGTGACACAGGGAGGAGACACAGCTCATACAGGTGACACAGGTGACACACAGGTGACACCGAGGTGGCACAGGTGACACACAGGTGACACCGAGGTGGCACAGGTGACACAGGTGACACACAGGTGACACAGGTGACACCCAGGTGACACCGAGGTGGCACAGGTAACCCAGGTGACACAGGGAGGTGACACAGCTCATACAGGTGACACACAGGTGACACCGAGGTGGCACAGGTGACACAGGTGACACCCAGGTGACACCGAGGTGGCGCAGGTGACAGGCGTGTCCCCTCACCTGGTCGATGATGCCCCCGGGGTTCAGCAGCGTCTCCCGCGCCAGGATGTTGATGTGGAAGGTGAAACGCACGTGGGGGAGGAGCAGCTGGGGACAGCAATGGGGACATTGGGGACAGTGGGGACATTGGGGGGATTGGGGGGATTTGGGGACATTGGGGACAGTGGGGACATTGGGGACAATGGGGACATTGGGGACATTGGGAGTGTTTGGGACATTGAGGGACAATGGGGACATTGGGGACAGCGGGGACACTGGGGACATTGGAGACATTGGGGACAGTGGGGACAGTAATGGGGACATTGGGGACATTGGGGGGATTTGGGACACTGGGGACATTGGGGACAGTGGGGGGATTGGGGGGACTGGGGACATTGGGGACATTTGGGACAGTGGGGACATTGGGGAGGTTGGGGACAGCAGAGACATTGGGGACATTGGGGACAGTGGGGACATTGGGGGGACTGGGGACAGTGGGGGGATTGGGGGGACTGGGGACAGTGGGGGGATTGGGGACATTGGGGACATCGGGTGGATTGGGGACATTTTTGGGATTTGGGGACATTGGGGACATTGGGGACATTGGGGACATTGGGGTCAAGGTGTGTTTTTTGGGGTTTGGGTGCAGTTTTCGGGGTCAGGGTTGGGATTTTGGGGTCAGGGTTGGGATTTTGGGACGGGGATTTCGGGGTTCATTTTTTGGGGTTCGAGTCCATTTTTGGGGGTACCTGGTGCACGGGGTGCGCGGCCGGCAGGCGCTGGGTGGCCACGGCGAAGGCCTCGGCCAGGAAGTGGCCGTGCAGCAGGTGCGTCACCATCTCGTGCAGCACAAAGTGCGCGCTCCTCACCCACAGCTTGGCCAGGGCCCAACCGCGGCCACCGGGGACGAAAATCGGGGACCGCGGCCCGGGGTGCTGGGACAGCTGTGGGGGACATCGGGGACATTGGGGACATTGGGGTCAATGGGCGGATTGGGGACATTGGGGACATTGGGGGGATTGGGGACATTGGGGGGATTGGGGACATCGGGGACATTGGGGGGGATTGGGGACAGTGGAGACATTGGGGACATTGGGGTCAATGGGGACATTGGGGGGATTGGGGACATTGGGGACACTGGGGTCAATGGGGGGATTGGGGTCAATGGGGACATTGGGGACATTGAGGACATTGGGGACATTGGGGACATTGAGGACATTGGGGTCAATGGGGACACTGGGGGGACACTGGGGGGACATTGGGGACATTGGGGACATTGGGGTCAATGGGGTCAATGGGGGGATTGGGGTCAATGGGGACATTGGGGACATTGAGGACATTGGGGTCAATGGGGACACTGGGGGGACATTGGGGACATTGGGGACATTGGGGTCAATGGGGTCAATGGGGACATTGGGGGGATTTGGGACATTGGGGACACTGGGGACATTGGGGACACTTGGGGACAGTGGGGACATTGGGGACACTGGGGACATCAGGGACATTTAGGGACATTGGGGGACATTTGGGGACATTTAGGGACACGGGTGAAACATGAAGGATATTTAGGGATATTTGGGGACGTTTGGGGACATTTGGGGACAATGGGGAGACACAGAGAATATTTGGGGACACCGAGGGGATATTTAGGGACGTTTGGGGACATTTGGGGACATTTGGGGACATGGGTTAAACATAAAGGACATTTGGGGACATTTAGGGCCATTTGGGGACATTTGGGGACACGGGTGAGACATGAAGGACATTTAGGGCCATTTGGGGACATTTGGGGACATGGGTTAAACATAAAGGACATTTGGGGACATTTAGGGGACACCTGGGGACACTGGGGGACATTGGGGTCAATGGGGACACTTGGGGACACCTGGGGACACCCGGGGACACCTGGGGACACTCGGGGGCCGTACCTGGATGGCCACGGGCAGGAGGCGGCCGCGGGGGCCGAGCCAGAGCAGGCACAGGGGGGCGGCCACGAACTGGGGGCGCCCCCCGATGGCGCCCGTGGGGAGCCCCTCGAGCAGCGCGTAGTCGGCCAGGAAGAGGCGGCCGGCCTGCGCCCCGAAATCGGGGACACCCCGAAACACGGGGGGAAGGAAAGGAGAAAGGTCAGACACCCCGAAAACGGAGACACGGAAAGGAGAAACCCCCCAGACACCCCAAAAATGGGGACCCGAAAACGGGGACACGGAAATGGGGACACCCCAAAAATGGGGATAAAGAAATGAGAAATGTCAGACACCCCAAAAATGAGAACCCCAAAAATGGGAAACCCCAGACACCCCAAAAATGGGGACACCAAAACTGGGACATTGAAATGTAATCGGCCAGGAAGAGGCGGCCGGCCTGCGCCCCGAAATCGGGGACACCCCGAAACACGGGGGGAAGGAAAGGAGAAAGGTCAGACACCCCGAAAACGGAGATACGGAAATGAGAAACCCCCCAGACACCCCGAAAATGGGGACACGGAAAGGAGAAAGGTCAGACACCCCAAAAGTGGAGATATGGAAATGAGAACCCCAAAAATGGGGACAGACACCCCAAAAATGGGGATAAAGAAATGAGAAACGTCAGACACCCCAAAAATGGAGATACAGGAATGAGAAAGGTCAGACACCCCAAAAATGGGGACAGACACCCCGAAAACGGGGACACCCCGAAAATGGGATCACGGAAAGGAGAAACGTCAGACACCCCAAAAATGGGGACCCCGAAAATGGGGGTACCAAAATGGGGACACGGAAATGAGAACCCCAAAAATGGGGACACCAAAACTGGGACATTGAAATGTAATCGGCCAGGAAGAGGCGGCCGGCCTGCGCCCCGAAATCGGGGACACCCCGAAACACGGGGGGAAGGAAAGGAGAAAGGTCAGACACCCCGAAAATGGGAACCCCAAAAATGGGGACACCGAAAATGGGAACCCCAAAAATGGAGACACAGAAATGAGAACCCAAAAAATGGGGACACCAAAAATGGGAAACACCTCAGACACCCCGAAAATGGGGGTACAGAAAGGAGAAATGTCAGACACCCCAAAAATGAGGACACAGAAATGGGGACACCCCAAAAATGAGGGTACAGAAAGGAGAAATGTCAGACACCCCAAAAATGGAAATCTCCAGACACCCCAAAATGGGGACACCAAAAATGGGGACACCAAAATGGGGTTTTGGGGATTTGAGGATTTTGGGGTTTGGGGATTTTGGGGTTTTGGGGGATTTGGGATTTGGGGATTTTGGCGTTTTGGCGATTTGAGGATTTTGGGGTTGGGGGGCTTTGGGAATTTTGGGGTTTTGGGATTTGGGGTTTGGGGATTTTGGAGATTTTGGGGTTTGAGAATTTTGGGGTTTGGGGATTTGGGGGTTTCTCTTCGAGGTTTTTTGGGTTTTCTGACTTTCTCTTTGTGGATTCTTGAGGTTTTGGGGGTTTCTGGTTGTGTTTTTTGGGGTATTTTATGGTTTTTGGTGTCCCGCACCTCCATCTCCTGGCTCAGCGTGGTCCCTGTCCCCAAACTCGGTGCCACCATGGCCTCGATATTTGTTTGGGGTTTTTGGGGTGCTTACGGGGTTTTGATGATTTTGGGGTGATTTTTATGGATTTTGGGGTGATTTTTAGGGTTTTTGGTGTCCCTCACCTCCATCTCCTGGCTCAGGTCGGTCCCTGTCCCCAAACTCGGTGCCACCATGTCCCCGGTGACCGGGAAGTTGGGGGGCAGGCGGCGGCAGCGGCGCAGCAGGACGGGGTTCACCCCGCTCAGGAACTGCTCCCCGAAAAACGCGTCCGACTGCCAGTGCCGCACCACGTACTCTGGGGACACCATTGGGGACATTGTTGGGGACATTATTTGAGATATTGGGGACATTGGGGACATTACTGGGGACATTATTGGGGACATTGGGGGACATTATTTGGGATATTTGGGACATTGAGGACATTGGGGACACCTTAGGGACATTGGGGGACACCTTGGGGACACCTTGAGGACATTGGGGACTTTATTGGGGACACTTCAGGGACATCTGGGGACACCCTGCGGACACCTTGGGGACACCTTGGGGACACTGGGGACATTATTGGGGACATTATTGGGGACATCAGAGACACCTGGGGACACCTTAAGGACATTGGGGGACACCTTGAGGACACCTCCAGGACATCTGGGGACACCTTGAGGACACCTTGAGGACATTGGGGGACATTACTGGGGACACCTTGGGGACACTTGGGGAAACATCAGGAACACCTTGAGGACACTGGGGACACCTTGAGAACATTGGGGACATTATTGGGGACATCGGAGACACCTTAGGGACACCTCCAGGACATCTGGGGACAACCTGAGGACATTGGGGACATTGGGGGGATTGGGGACATTGGGGACATTGGGGACATTATTGGGGACACCTGGGGACATTGGGGACATTGGGGACATTTTTGGGGGCATTGGGGACATCGGGGACAGCGCCACCCACCGCTGATGGGGGTCCCGGGCCCCTCGAGCGCCGCCCGAACGTCCCCAAGGCTGCGCCAGGAGCCGCCGGGACAGAGCCCCCGGAGCCGGAGCCGGATGCGCCTGAGGGGACAGCGGGGACATCAACGGGGACAGAGGGGACAGTGGGGACAGCGGGGACATCAACGGGGACAGCGGGGACATCAATGGGGACAGCGGGGACAGTGGGGACAGCGGGGACATCAATGGGGACAGCGGGGACATCAATGGGGACAGCGGGGACAGTGGGGACAGCGGGGACATCAACGGGGACAGCGGGGACATCAACGGGGACAGAGGGGACATTGGGGACATTGTGGGGGATTGGGGACATTGGGGGCATTGGGGACCCTTGATGACTCCCATTGACCCCCATTGACTCCACTGATCCCCATTGATCCCCATTGACCCCATTGATCCCCATTGACCCCATTGACCCCATTGACCCCATTGATCCCCATTGATCCCCATTGATCCCATTGATCCCCATTGACCCCATCGACCCCCATTGACCCCATTGACCCCCATTGATCCCATTGACCCCATTGACCCCATCGACCCCCATTGACCCCATTGACCCCATTGACCCCCATTGATCCCCATTGACCCCCATTGATCCTCATTGACCCCCATTGACCCCATTGACCCCATTGATCCCATTGACCCCATTGACCCCCACTGATCCCCATTGACCCCCATTGACCCCATTGACCCCATTGACCCCATTGACCCCCATTGACCCCCATTGACCCCCATTGACCCCATTGACCCCATTGACCCCCATTGACCCCATTGACCCCCATTGATCCCATTGACCCCCATTGATCCCATTGATCCCATTGACCCCCATTGACCCCATTGATCCCATTGATCCCATTGACCCCCATTGACCCCCATTGACCCCATTGATCCCATTGATCCCATTGATCCCATTGACCCCCATTGATCCCATTGATCCCCATTGACCCCATCGACCCCCATTGACCCCATTGATCCCATTGACCTCCATTGATGTCCATTGACCCATGATGACCCCCACTGACCCCCCATGACCCCCGGTGACCCCCCGGTGACCCCGATGACGTCACTGACGCGGCGGCGGCGCGCGCGGCCAGCTGGGCCCGGTGCCCCAGGGGGAAGCTCAGGGTGGGCGACAGCGCGGTGGGCGGGGCCTGTGACGTCATCGACTTCCCCTCTGACGTCACCGACTGCTCCTGTGACGTCATTGACCGCTCCTCCCGTGACGTCATCTGCTGCCCCTGTGACGTCATCGGCGACTCCTTTGACGTCGTCGCTGGCGGCTCCTCCCGTGACATCATCGTTGGGGGCGTGGCCGGAGGGGGCGTGGCCGGAGGGCGTGGCCACGGGCACAGGGTCGGGGGCAGCGCCCGGAGATGCCACGGCCAGCCCGGGGCGTAGGGAGCCCACCTGGACAGAGTGACCAGAGTGACCACGGGTGACCAGAGTGACCATCAGTGACCACTGGTGACCATCAGTGACCAGAGTGACCAGAGTGACCATCAGTGACCACTGGTGACCATGAGTGACCACTGGTGACCATCAGTGACCAGAGTGATCAGAGTGACCATGGGTGACCAGGAGTGACCATCAGTGACCAGAGTGACCAGAGTGACCATCAGTGACCACTGGTGACCATCAGTGACCAGAGTGACCATCGGTGACCACTGGTGACCATGAGTGACCACTGGTGACCATCGGTGATCACTGGTGATCCCAGAGCCCAGCTGGACAGAGTGACCAGAGTGACCATGGGTGACCAGGAGTGACCATCAGTGACCAGAGTGACCATGGGTGACCACTGGTGACCACAAGTGACAACTGACCAGCAGTGACCAGAGTGACCATGAGTGACCACTGGTGACCATGAGTGACCGCTGGTGACCATGAGTGACCACTGGTGACCACGAGTGACAAGTGACCAGCAGTGACCACTGGTGACCACGAGTGACCATGAGTGACCATGAGTGACCACGAGTGACCAGCAGTTCCCTCCCAGTTCCGCCCAGTCCATCCCAGTCCCTCCCAGTTTGTCCCAGTATAACCCAATCCCCTCCCAGTCCCTCCCAGTCCCCCCCCAATCCCTCCCAGTATATCCCAGTCCATCCCAGTATAACCCAATCCCTTCTCAGTCCCTCCCAGTTTGTCCCAGTCCCTCCCAGTTTGTCCCAGTCCCTCCCAGTTTCGCCACCGCTCCCAGTCTGACCGGTTCCAGCCCCGCCGGCCTCAGCCACCCCCGCACCAGTCACGCCCAGATCGTCCCAGTTTGTCCCAGTTCATCCCAGTCCATCCCAGTCCCTCCCAGTCCATCCCAGTTCATCCCAATCCCTCCCAGTATATCCCAGTATAACCCAGTTCCCTCCCAGTCCATCCCAGTCCATCCCAGTTCCCCCCAATCCCCTCCCAGTCCCTCCCAGTATATCCCAGTATATCCCAGTCCCTCCCAATCCCTTCCCGGTCCTTCCCAGTCCCTCCCAGTATAACCCAATTCCCTCCCAGTTCCCCCCAATCCCCTCCCAGTCCATCCCAGTCCCTCCCAGTATATCCCAGTATGTCCGAGTCCCCTCTCAGTCCCTCCCAGTATAAACCAGTATATCCCAGTCCATCCCAGTCCATCCCAGTCCATCCCAGTATATCCCAGTATATCCCAGTATATCCCAGTCCCTCCCAGTCCCTCCCAGTATAAACCAGTATATCCCAGTCCATCCCAGTCCATCCCAGTATATCCCAGTCCCTCCCAGTATAAACCAGTATATCCCAGTCCATCTCAGTCCATCCCAGTATAACCCAGTCCCCTCCCAGTCCCTCCCAGTATATCCCAGTATGTCCAAGTCCCCTCTCAGTCCCTCCCAGTATAAACCAGTATAACCCAGTCCATCCCAGTATATCCCAGTATAACGCCATACTCTCCCAGTCCCTCCCAGTCCCTCCCAGTCCCCTCCCAGTCCCTCCCAGTATATCCCAGTATAACGCAATCCTCTCCCAGTCTCTCCCAGTCCCTCCCAGTTCCCTTCCAGTCCCTCCCAGTCCCTCCCAGTATAAACCAGTATATCCCAGTCCATCCCAGTCCCTCCCAGTATAACCCAGTTCCCTCCCAGTCCCCCCCAGTCCCCTCCTAGTCCCTCCCAGTATATCCCAGTATAACGCCATCCTCTCCCAGTATATCCCAGTCCCCCCCAGTCCCTCCCAGTATATCCCAGTATATCCCAGTCCATCCCAGTGTATCCCAGTATCTCCCAGCTCTCACTGGAAGCTCTCTCTCCGCTCTCTCCGCTCCTCCTGGCGCTGCTGCAGCAGCTGCGGCACCCGGGCGGCGACAGCGGCGGTGCAGGCTGGGGACACCAATGGGGACATTGGGGACATCAATGGGGACATTGGGGACACCAATGGGGACATCAATGGGGACATTGGGGACACCAATGGGGACATCAATGGGGACATTGGGAGGATTGGGGGATTGGTGATGTTGGGGACATTGGGGACATTGGGGGATTGGGGACATCAATGAGGACATTGGGGACATCAATGGGGACATTGGGGACACCAATGGGGACATGGGGAGGATTGGGGGATTGGTGATGTTGGGGACATTGGGGACATTGGGGGGATTGGGGACATCAATGAGGACATTGGGGACATCAATGGGGACATTGGGGACAGCGGGGGGACATCGTTGGGGACACCAATGGGGACATTGGGGACATCAATGGGGACATTGGGGACATTGGGGGGACATTGGGAGGATTGGGGGATTGGTGATGTTGGGGACATTGGGGACATTGGGGGGATTGGGGACATCAATGGGGACATTGGGGACAGTGGGGGGATTTGGGACATTTGGGGACATTGGGGGGATTGGGGGCATTGGGGACATTGGGGACAGTGGGGGGACATCAATGGGGACAGTGGGGACAGCGGGGGGGATTGGGGACATTGGGGGGGATTGGGGACATTAATGGGACATTAATGGGGACATTGGGGACAGTGGGGGATTGGGGACACCAATGGGGACAGTGAGGACAGCGGGGGGGGACATTGGGGACAGTGGGGACATTTGGGGGGGGATTGGGGACATCAGTGGGGACATTGGGGGGATTGGGGGGATTGGGGACATTGGGGGTGTTGGGGACGTCAGGGACATTGGGGACATTTGAGGACATTGAGGGGATTTGGGGACATTAGGGGGACATTGGGGACAATGGGGACATCAATGGAGACATTGGGGACATTGGGGGGTTGGGGGCATTGGGGACAGTGGGGACATCAACGGGGGGATTGGGGAATTTTTGGGGACATTGGGGACATTGGGGGGCATTAATGGGGACATTGGGGACACCAATGGGGACATTGGGGACATTGAGGACAATGGGGACATCAATGGAGACATTGGGGACATTGGGGAATTTTGGGGACACTGGGGACACCAATGGGGACATTTGGGACAGTGGGGGACATTGGGGACATTGGGGACATTGGGGACATTGGGGACATTGGGGGGGACATTGAGCAAAAATGGGGGGAAAAAGTGGAAAATGGGGAGAATTTGGGAAAAAGGGATTTGGCGACATTGGGGACATTCTTGGGGACATTATTGGGGACACTGGGACATCAGTGTGGACATCGTGAAGGAACCTGATGTCCCCACTGCCCCCAATGTCCCCAATGTCCCCAACCCCCCCCAACGTCCCAATGTCCCCAATATCCCCACTGCCCCCCCAATGTCCCCACTGTCCCCAATGTCCCCAACCCCCCCACTGTCCCCAATGTCCCCAACGTCCCCAATGTCCCCAATGTCCCCACTGTCCCCAATGTCCCCAATGTCCCCAATGTCCCCAATGTCCCCCAACCCCCCCCAATGTCCCCACAGTGTCTCCAATGTCCCCACTGTCCCCAATGTCCCCACAGTGTCCCCAATGTCCCCATTGCCCCCCCACTGTCCCCAATGTCCCCACTGTCCCCAATGTCCCCAATGTCCCCATGTCCCCAACCCCCCCAACGTCTCCAATGTCTCCAATGTCCCCACTGTCCCCCCAATGTCCCCACAGTGTCCCCAATGTCCCCACTGTCCCCAATGTCCCCAATGTCCCCACAGTGTCCCCAATGTCCCCACTGTCCCCAATGTCCCCACAGTGTCCCCGTACCTGTCCCCTCGCGCAGCTCCAGCTCGCCGCTCTCCACCCAGCGGTGGCAGGGGAAGGTGGCCGTGGGGACGTCCCCGATGTCCCCAGCGCTGTCCCCAGAGACGTCCCCGATGTCCCCAGCGCTGTCCCCATGGGTGTCCCCGGGCAGGGGCCCGGTGACGGTGACGCTGTCACAGAACCAGCGGTCGGGGACGAGGGACAGCAGCGGCTCCTTGTGCAGGCGCAGGGACAGCAGCGTCCCCAGGGGACGGGGGACAGGTGACATCGAGCCACAGGGTCTGTAATGGGGACACCTGTGTCACCTGTGTGTCACCTGTGTGTCACCTGGGACACCTGTGTGTCACCTGTGTGTCACCTGTGTCACCACCAGTGTCCTGTAACACGGACACCTGTGTCACCTGTGTCACCTGGGACACCTGTGTGTCACCTGTGTGTCACCTGTGTGTCACCTGTGTCACCCCCAGTGTCGGTGACAGGCACAGCAGCGTCCCCAGGGGACGGGGACAGGTGACATCGAGCCACAGGGTCTGTAATGGGGACACCTGTGTCACCTGTGTGTCACCTGTGTGTCACCTGTGTGTCACCTGTCACCCCCCAGTGTTTGTGACAGGGACACCTGTGTCACCTGTGTGTCACCTGTGTGTCACCTATGTGTCACCTGTGTGTCACCTGTCACCCCCAGTGTTTGTGACAGGGACACCTGTGTCACCCCAATGTCACCTGTGTCACCTGTGTGTCACCTGTGTGTCACCTGTGTGTCACCTGTGTGTCACCTGTCACCCCCAGTGTTTGTGACAGGGACACCTGTGTCACTGTGTCACCTGTGTGTCCTGTGTGTCACCTGTGTGTCACCTGTGTGTCACCTGTGTCACTATATCCAATATATCCCAATATAAACCAGTACAAACCAGTATATCCAGTACAAACCAGTACAAACCAGTACAAACCAGTACAAACCAGTATATCCAGTACAAACCAGTACAAACCAGTACAAACTCACCGTGCCGCCCTGAGTTGGTGCCAGCCCAGGTGCCAGGGCGGTGCCACCCCCGCCGTCCCCCTCAGCGTCACCGTCACCGTCCCCTCCCAATATAACCCAGTACAAACCAGTACAAACCAGTACAAACTCACCGTGCCGGCCCTGAGTTGGTGCCAGCCCA